CCAAGCAATTGACCTAAACTAGATTTGCTTACTCGACTATTCCACCTGTGAAGATAGTTATCATCACTGAACGTCTTAAACAAAAAGTATAAAAATGTCATATGTAAAAGATGCTCCATATTGTCTGCACCTATGCACATCTAAATACCAAGCATCTTTTCATTATTTTATGAAAGGAGAAAGCTATATCGGTTCTTGTAAGGGAAATGTATGGTGTTCGGGCCCTTTAGGGTAAAGTCTTTGTTTTGTTACTTTGTCAAAGATCTATCACTCCAATAATTTACAGCGTTTTTAGTTCGGTTGATATTGAAAGAATTTCAAGATTGGAAGTTTAATTCGTTGCTCGTCATCTTTAAAGTAACATAAATTTATTCAAATGTCTTTACAAAAAATCTGCATAAATGCATTCAAATATCCAAAGAAAGTTCAAAAACAAGTTCCAAATATGATAAAGTTCATAAACCAAATTCAAACAAGATGCCACAAAATTGAGTAAGGCTTCATTAGAATGCCTCACTTGCCATGACACTTTCTACTTTGGGAGTGTCATTGCTTTCATCGTAAAATTCCAGCTCTTTTCTGTCCATCATTAGCTGGATCAAAACTCTAAATTCGGCACATTCTTGTACATCATGTCCATCTTCATTGTGATAACAGCAATAACTGCTACCTTTGGAATCTGATGCGCCAGGATGTGGTGCAAGATACCTCGTATTTATCATTTGCCTCCATACCCAAGTAAGAGGTGACTTCACTTCGGAGACTGGTTTTGGCCTTTTTACCCTTTTCCTTGGTGATTGTAATTTCCTCATTCTCTTTATGATTAGGCAAAGGGTTCTGTGTAATGTGGGGTGATTCTGTATTGTTGAAATGAATCCAACTCCTGTTGCGCATTCTTTGGATAACCCTCTTAAAGGCGAGACAATTTTCAATAGCATGCCTCGGAACACCACCATGATATTCACAGTTCACATTTTTGTCATACTACCCTGGGGTATGGGGGCTTTAGTGGTATCTCTGGGTAGGGTGACACCACATGTGCGTCAAACAGTTGTTGGTAGAGCTCCTTGTATGTCATGGGAATGGGGTCGAAATGCTCATTTTCTCTCATTAGTTCTCTAGATACAGCTGCAATTGATTTTGATTTGTTGAGGCTCTCCCTTTCTTTCTTCTTCAGGGGAGGCTTTTCACCCGACCTACCTCCTGGTTTAATGGTCGTTTTGACTTCTTCCCCAAATTTTGGAATGCAGTAACCATCCGAATTATTTTGAAGTCCTAATAATATTCTGGGTGAGACAGCTACTTGCGAGGTAGGTGACATAGTTACCCCCTCCGATGGACCTGTCCCAGGTGCACTTGTATGACGTAGGCCAACCAACCTGGTAATGATTTGATCGACCAAGGACTCTTGCCCTTTCGTAATTGTAACTAGGGCACTCTGGCTATTTTGATTTATCTTTTCTTCTATATCCTTCTGCAACCTCAGCATGTTCTCTTCAAGTTGAGCAAATTCTGGCTTCCATTTCTTTTCGGTTTGAATGGGGATGACACGTGTCTGAAGCTTGTGGAGTTAAATCCGGTGTATGTTCACTTTGATGAGACATGCCTTTGTTAGTTAATACGAATACAAAGAAAATAACAAAATGCAAAATATGTCTAAATGCATGATGCATGAAATGTTCGAGGCATTGATCCTAAAAAACGTGTCTCTTATTATAAATAATCCTCATTGTGGGCAAAAGTGTTACGTCACAAAAACACTTTGATGGTATAGATCCCCGAACAACCTCTGACAAGTTGATTCTTCTTCCGTCTTTTTTCTGTCACCGGTTGAGTATCCTATCGAACCGTTCTGGCTCTTTTGGCTAAATTGTGCAAGTGATGAGCTACTTGCCCCACAAAAGTCTCGAAGGACTGCATCTCCGGCTTTCACTATCTTCCGAGCCTGTTCCTAATGAAAGCGTCATTTGAGTCCTGCATCGATGGGAACTATTCGAAGCTTGTTTCTTGAACTTGTCAATAGTGGCCTCCAGCTCAGCTAGGGTTTCACCATATTATTCTCGTAATCTTCGAAAGAACTCTCTGGGTCAGTAACCTTTTTCTTGTCCTGCCCCTGCACCTTTCACCATCTCGTTCTGGAAAAGTTGACTTTTGATGAGCTTGGTGGAAACCCGGTCCATTCCGAGTCTTTTCTTACTATAGCTGGACTTCTGAGCTTTTCATCTCTTGTATTATAACCCCTTTGTCCATTAATGCAGATTATTCATGTTTAACAAACACGATTTTGGTGGATCAACACCTCTTTTAAAAGATGCGAATGATGAAAACAAAATAAAAGAGAACAAAAATAAAAATAGTTGGTGAGGTAAATCAAACAATAATAAAAATGAAAATCTTGTCCTGCCCCTGCACCTTTCATCTCGTTCTGGAAAAGTTGACTTTTGATGAGCTTGGTGGAAACCCGGTCCATTCCGAGTCTTTTCTTACTATAGCTGGACTTCTGAGCTTTTCATCTTTGTTTATAACCCCTTTGTCCATTAATGCAGATTATTCATGTTTAACAAACACGATTTTGGTGGATCAACACCTCTTTTAAAAGATGCGAATGATGAAAACAAAATAAAAGAGAACAAAAATAAAAATAGTTGGTGAGGTAAATCAAAACAATAATAAAAATGAAAAATCTTACCCCACATGATATCTACACCACATGTTTATTATTCCTACCCGGACATGATCTCTATCCCGCATGCTAATTTCAAACAAATCCTAACCGCATATTTGTCTAGTTCGCATGCTTTGAAAAGAAAGTAAAGCATGAAACAAATTAGCCTAGGGTTTCGAATGAGGTTTTGGGGTGGACTCTAATTCCCTGTACTCTCCCGGTTTAGGTTCTAAAAAATGTAATCGAGTACTCCTTGCTGGTGCCCCTTTGGGCTTGCCAGACCCTCAGTCCTAAGCCCATTACAAGCTTGTGTGGAGTAAGTTAAACTCGAGAGGATACATTCCCTTATGTTTGTGCGGTGAATAAATTCACACGAAGACATAAGGTCTATGAATCCCGAAGGTTACTTGCTAGGCCTGTGCGAAGAATAAATTCTCACAAAGGCGTCACTTTCACCCCCACTTAAAAGGGTTCAGAGCTTGGGTATAGAGCTTGAGATGAAAATTTTGAAAATCTGAAATCATTGAGAAAACCGTCAGTACAACTATTTATTTGAAAAATAACCAAAGGTAAATAATGGGAATCGAATAAATAAATTAAAATTTACTATTTTCGTATAAAAAGAAAACCGAAAATTAATTCTGGCCTGACTCACTTACCTGTCCCCAGTAGAGTCGCCAAGATGTCACGGTCGTCTTTTGGTTGGGTTCGGAATTGGGCTTCGACTTGAATTGATGGGGTTAGAGTCGCCATCGATCACTTTAAAAACATTTAGGTGGATCGAACACCATCTTACCTGATCTGCATTTTACCATAAACGTGTCGGGTTCGGGAGTCGGTTACGGTCAAGGAAGGATTAGCACCCTTGAACCGCCCTTTCGGTACCAATTAATTTTTCGGTTGTCTTAAATTGCGAAAATTGAAATTTTTAAATTAAAATTTAAAAAACCCGATTTTAATTACTTACATTTGATCAGTTAGAATTTATCTACAAAGTTAAAAATGTTAGAGGAAATAAATAAATAAATAAATTCTAAATAAACCAAAAGAAAGAAAATTTTAAAAATGTAATAAAAAATATAAAGAAAAGCATAATAATAAAATAATAATAAAAATGTTTAAAAAATATATATAAAAGAGGTAAATAATAATAAACATATACATATAAAAAAAGACAGAAAAACATATATACGAATATTGGAAATAAAAATAAAGAAAAACGTAAAATAAATAAATAAAGAAGGGATCGATTTGAAAGAAACTGAAATTGGGGGATAAAATCAGAAGGGAATCAAGATTAAATTCGAAATAAGGGAGGCTTCGGCCTTTGGCTTGTATTTTTGTGATGATTTTTATTTGTTGTTGATGGTGGTTTACTGTTTTTGTTTCGATGGTGGCTTGGTTCGATTTGTTGGCCGATTTTGGATGTTTGTGATTTATGTGGCTCGATGATATTGGTTGTGTTGATGGTTTTCGTGTATTCGGTGTTTCTCCGTTGATGGTTCCCCCTTGTGGGTTCTGTTCGATGATGTATTTATACAGCACCGTCGGGGACTGTTTCGGATGATATGGGGTTGTGAACGTTGCTACTAAATTCCCGGGATGGTTCAGTCTCGGGATCCCCGGTCGACGTCCGGCCATTTCGCGTGACCCTTGATCTCCTGACTTTGCGGCGCTGTTAACTGAGACAATGGAACGTTAGGGTTTTGCAAACCCTGGGCTGGTTCAGGCCCACTTAGCCAATACTGGACCCTGGACTTAGACAGATTAGACCCCGAACAGACCTAAAACCAAAAAAAAAGTAATAATAATAGATAAATAATAATAATAAATATAAAAAAAGTATTTTTTAAAAAAAACTATATAATATAAATTTTTAAAAATGTTTTTTAAAAAACTATATATTATATATAAATTTTTAAAAATATTTTTTTAAAACTATATAATTTCAAAAATGTTTTAAAAATTATATATTACATATAAGTTTTCAAAAATGTTTTCAAAAACTATATATTATATAAGTTTTCAAAAATGTTTTCAAAAACTATATATTATATAAGTTTTCAAAATGATTTTAAAACTATATATTATATATATATTTTTAAAATATTTTAAAAACTATATATCATATAGTTTTCAAAGGTATTTTAAAAACTATATATTATATACATTTTTAATATATGTATTTTCAAAAACCGTTTGCAAACTATATAATATATATAGATATATAGATATATATGTATAAAAGAAAATAAAATATGGACGAAAATGAGTGTCTACACTGATGTTGTTGATCTTGGGGCAATGGCAGTGGTGTTGATTGAGGATGTGCAACTTATGTTGAAGCAAAGCCATTGAATAAAGCTGCTCTTTCATTCATATCTTCCAAAACTGAAGTCTTGTTCGCTTTTTGGTGAAGATTGACAGGTTGACAGCGGAATGGAAAAGCATTGTTCACAACAAATTTCCTTGCTCCTAGTTCATATATTGCCTGCAAGCATGCATGAGAATCAAACATCTATTTTCAGAACTATATCGAGAAAATATTAAGAGAGTGATTTACCTCTAATCGACTGTACAACTCGTTCGATAAGAGCCGAGTGTATTTTTTTACGGTAGAGAACTGTTCGGGTAACTTTCCAAATTGCCAATACAAGACAAGGTCATTCCCCCCTACATGGATGAATAACAATGACTTAGACATGTAGGAATCAAAGCTTTCAAGGCCATCGAATTGACCCTTCAAGTTCGTAACTGTGTGATTGAACAATTGTATATGTTCATCCAAGCTCAAAACATGTCCCTGATGAAGCATTCGAATGAAAATGTCAATTAAACATGGATGGAAAAGGTAAATCTTGGTGCCAAGTGAAACATATAACTTACAAATATTGGTGTTAGAGACGAAGGCAATGCAATATCCCACCAGAAGAGGAACCATAATTTAAACCAGTAGTGATATTCCTCTGGGATTCAGATAATCCCATAACAGGAGGAGGAAACGGCAAGCCAACAACTTGAGCTGCAAGTATACATAAATTAGATTCAAAAACAAGCATAGGAACACAAGATAGATAGATAGCCGGTTGGTACCGATGAAATCGACGAAGGTTCTTCCGTTTGTGGGACGTCCAGTCGCGACGCCTCCGAAATCGATTCCGTAAGGCGCGTAGTTAGCTTTGGATGCTGTGTCTAGATAGTTATTGTTACCGGCATCAACAATTGAATCACCGACGACATAAAGAGCTGGTAGATTGATTGAACAATAGTCTAAACCCAGATATCTGCAGATTTCAGCTTGTGGGATGTTAAATGGAGGTACTGGTAACGGTGGTAGAGGCTTGGAATCAGTATAAATTAAACCCAGGGGAAGGAGAAACAGTGCAAGAAAACAAAGAGAAGCATAATTCATTGTATCTTTGAAGCAAAGGAGATGATACTTGTAATTAAGGGTGCTGTGTTGTGTTTCTCTATGCATAACTCACGTTCTCTATATACACGTTCTTAGAGATATAACATCATAACATTTGGTGAAGGGTAAAATGCATTCCAGATCACTCTTAATTATGTATTCGGTAATAAATCAGTCACTCTTTTTTTAAATACTGTAATTTAGTCGCTTAGTAAAATATTATTACAAACAAGTCACTGATGGTTAAATATTAGACAAATATATACATGACTTGATATAATAATAGTTTTAGTCCCAACACTTATGTATTGTATTAATTTCGTCCTAATTGAAACTAATTTAATAGACTTAACACTTCATATTTTAAAATTCTATCAATTTAGTCTGTGTTCTTCTTTTAGAAATGTTGTATTACTTTTTTAGATTCATAATAGTTTAAAAATAACTTGATGTTTTATGGCAAATTGCAGTTATTCAAATTGTTGCTTTAATCCGATGGATTCATTTGGTTTGATAATGCTAAAAAAGGATTAAATTGATGAAAATTTTAAATATGAATGGTTAAATTTATTAAATTGTTTTGAATCGTGCCCACATTGATAGAAATATATAAGTTTTGAAAGTAAAAATATTATTATACAAAGTCACATTAGACATTTGTTTGAATTTTAACGGTTAGTGACGTATTTATAATAATATTTTAATTAAATATGTAATTTATATTTATTTTTTAAAAACAACTCATTTGTTTGAATTTTGAAAATGCTAAATGAATAAAATAAAAATATTTATAATTTAATTTTATATGTTTAATAACTTTATATGTATAAATATCCCTTAATATATTTTTAAAAACATTAATTTTTGTAAGTCGTGTGGCCGAGGGAGTGATTGCATCATATGTGACGTAACGCTTCTCTAAGCAGCCACCAACGGTAGCGGTGTGACACAGAGACCAACTATCATATACAATCATGATGCACAAAACCTAACAAATTTGAGGATGCAAAGTTTTTTTCGTATTCGATAACTATATTATATTTAAATTTAAATAAAATTATTTTTAAACAAATAATATTTTTAATCGATAAATTTTAAATTTTGATCTCGTTAAATTCTTTTTATCATTCAATTCAATTATCAAAACCATATACTATCACAGACATAAATACGGAGGAGAGGGGTACAGGTAAAATGCTTGCTATAATAATGTTCCATTTTCCCCTGCAAAAGACAGATTCAAGTCATGATTCTAAATTTTGGATAAAAAAAAGTTCATTGTATTATATGTTTTTAAATTATGATTCTTGTTTTAAACTGATTTTGTATATTTTAATTTTGTTCTTCAACTTTTGAACATTTCAGATGTATTTTCAAACTATGACATCCGTTCTAAATTGATCTATAAACTTTTAAATGATTTAAGGGATGTCATTGAAACGGTGTAGTTTGAGAATAGATTTGGTATGTTTAAAAGTTGAAGGATCGACTTAGAATGAAGATCATAATTTAAAAATAAAAGTAAAATATTAAAAAGTTTAGAAGAAAAATCATAATCCGAGAATATATGATACAATTAGCTTGTAAAGATGATGAGGAAAGCATTTGGCTAAATTAGCTTGGCAAGCTTATATCATCCAGGTCATCCAATGATAGGAACACTTCATCCAAGCCTGATAGTTCTGTTCCATCTTCTTCTTCACTACAATTTCTTTCGTATACTCTACAAACAACCCATTTTCTGTAATCCTATCAAATCAAAAAAAAATGTCAATAAATGAAAAAATATAAAAGATATAATGGAATTAAGGTCTAATTGTACATCCAGTCCTTGCACTCTTCAAACTTTGAAATTCAATCTCATATTTGTATGATTTAAGAATTAAAATTCAACTGATATCGTTATTAACAATATTTAAATATTTATTATTAATTATAGGGATAAAACACCATTTAATCCTTAAACTGAGTCACTTTTCTTAAGCTAGTCCCTGTTTGTTTCTTGTCTACATTAGGCCTTAGAATTTGGATTCTTGATCATTTTGATGGTGTGTTGTTTTAAAGAGTGGCACGTGATATAATATTAAAGTGGTATATCATCAAAAACTAATAAAAATAAAAAATAAATTTAAGATTAAAAATTGCGTTGTCCCTTAAGTAAACTTTAATTTTTAAATCAAATCTTTTAAGAAAGAGATAAAGACAGGATTAAATTTCAAAAGTTTGGAGGATAGGGGAGTAAGGGCAGAATTAGACCAACATTTACCATACGGATTAATGAGTATAGGATACTAACGATTTTGGACTGTCCTCCTCTACGTTTGGACGATCTACTGCTGCCGGAATCGGAATCGGAATCGGAGAGACGATATTCTTGCATTATCCAATTCGTTTTGATACCGGCCGGACCCGATTCTCCGATGTAGAAAACGAAATATTTCTTCATGCCAACTTTGTTGCTGCTATTACTATTCACCACCGGCTCATCGATTCCCATGGGCTTCCAGTACCCGTTGCCGGTGCTCCTGTTCTTCGTCCTCCTGCTGTAGAAATACCACTGCTTTCCCTCTCCCAAAGCTTTACCTATACATTCAAAAAACACTTACAGCAAAAGAAAAAAGAAAGAAACTAAAGTAGAATGATTAGATGATGGAACATACCATCGAGTTCCCATGGATCGTAGGGAACGAGGTCGAGATCGGGGATGACGTCGGGGTGGCATGGCAACAGGGCGGCCTTGCGTTGAAGGAAATGGACGACGAGGTCTTCGTCGGTGGGATAGAATCGGAACCCTGGAGGCAGATTAACATTGCGGCTTTCTCCCATGTCTTTCTCTTGAGCTACGAAGAACAAGAATAGTGAAGGAGAAGGATTCGGAGTGGGTGATATTTATAGTATGAGAGGTGGATAAAAACACACACATACACACAATATATATATATATATATATATATATATATACTTGTGGAGGAGTAATGGAAAAGAAAAAACAAATGGAAGAGAGGGAAGAAAGAAAGTGACATAAAAAGGAAGGTGGGATTTGATGATGATTTATCGCTGTGCCGTGTGCTTTCAAATCTCAATCTCCAAGCTTTCTCTCCCCATGGCGGCGGCTAACGGTAACGCTCTGCTCTGCTTTGTATACTTACAACTAACGATATCTGCTGCGCTTGCTATCGGGAGAGATTTTTATTGGATATGTTTAGGTTTGTCTGCTGCTGCGTTTGAATTATAAACTTGTGGGTGCTACCTTATGGCTTGTATCTAACAACTTGAAAACAAAGATATTTAATACCCAAGCTAATAGCTTGATTGACCAAAGGACATAATACTTTGACGAATTGAAATGTTTTGAAGTTCAAAGACGCTAAACAACAGTTTTGATAAAATTAACCCGGTTTTAAATTCAAAAGAATGATGAACTGGAATGGGTGATCATCATACTTCATGCTTATATCAAGCATCTTCTATGATACATACATGAAAATGGGTTTTGTCCGGCACCATAAATAAAAACATTAAATGGACCCACTGCTTGGTTTAGGAGTGTGCCTATGTACCAACAATAATAATTAGCATAATTAATATCATCCAAATAAATTACTCCTTTCGCATGCTTTTTTTTTTTGTTCTATTATGTTTTGTTTCCTATGCTTCTCTCCCGCAACCCAAGAAAATATCAATCAATTGTCTGAGAAAGATCTAAAAACAAACAAAGGGTAAACTTTTCCAAATGCCATTGAATTTTATTGATTGTATAAATGAACTTTAAATTGATTAGGTTGTACCACATAATTCTCATTTTAACTTGTCTCCTCAACTCATTAAGCATACGATGACATCATCTTTTTCTTTCTCGTTAGCTTTAGTTTATATATCGATTTTGTTGTTAAATCTTAAAACGATTTAATTTAATAAATTGTTCCCCACATTCAATCATCGTTCATAGTAAGACTATTGTCAAAACTTTATCATTTCATTCCTCTTTCTCCTTCTCATATTACTTTAACTTATATACTATTAATAGGATGATTAATCTCGAGCCAGACAAGATCTGTGTCCTGACACATTATATGACATGATACATGTTTATTTTTTTATTTTTTATTTTTTTTAGATAAATTGCGTGTTTTAGAGATCTCATTCTCACATGTTATTCAATTTAGTTATTCTTGTATGATTAATTGTATGTTTTCATTCTTTTAAAAAGAATTGCATGTTATCATTATTTAATTACTTAAATTTGTAATATAGTTTATAACATAATTATTTACTTGGTTATTTGATTATTCTTTATTATTAACTATTAGTGAGATTGCTCCCAACCCTTTCTTTGCAGTCATTCATTTCATTTATTTTTATAAAATGTTATATATTTTTTTAAATGCACTAATATTTGAAAGCAATAGGGTAATCTAACTTTCATCACACATAATCGATTTTTGAATTCTAATTTTCATATGCTTTAGAAATATGCCTTTAAATTGTCTTTTTCAAATAGAATCTTTAAACACCTTTTAAAATAATTAAATTTAAGAGTGTTCGGTCGTACTCGGTTCAAAAGGATCAATGGCGATATTATCTTATTAAAACATGCTTTTTAATATAAATATTTAAGAGTATTCGGTCGTACTCGGTTAAAATCACTATGTTAGTGCCAAGCTACCATATCATCCGATCATTAATTGATTAACATATTAATGCTATAATTAAAATCAAAATTAAAGTCTAATGATAAAATCGATACGGACCATGAAATTTAATGATATCAACAGCAGTTTACCCATAAATAAATAAAAACCCTAAATGTAAACCGCAATCAACCAGTTCCTTCGAATGGGAGTGAGTTCAAGTGATATTCTATGGGCTGACAAAAAGGAAATATATGTTATATAGTCCCCACATTATTTTTCTTTAACCAATTATTAAATCTTAAAAAATAAAAGAAATGAGCAGAGGAATGTGTTACTTTGCTTATATATTACTTTTCCCAATTCCATGTGAAGACATTAAAGTAGAAGATTGTGACGAAATCGAACATTCATTTTCTTAAAAAAGATTGTGACTAAGAGTTGACCTAAAGGTTTGCCTTTTAATTACATTGTGAGCCGTTGAATTACTTTCTCAATGGTAAAATTCTTTTTGGATCCAATATTATAAATATACATTACGGAATAGCTCTCTTTCTTTTTTTTAATATTTACACACCTACTCTCATTAAATAAATAAATATTTGCATGATTTTTCGATAATGGTTACCATCAACAAATCAAGTTGCCTAACCAACATGTCCTGTGCACTAATTAAATTTTTTTATCCACTTGCCTTTTATTTTATTAATTGAGTAATAAAACTATGGAATTTTCGTGGGGGTATTCAACAATTAATATTTATGATTAAATTGTTATTTGATATGTTTTTAGTTCAACATTAAGAGTTTAAAATTCAAGATTTGAATTATTATGTTGTAAACTGAGTAAATTAGACTAAAAAGTAATATCCATCGCGCTGAATTTGTAATAGGTCATATGCTAATAATTATATTAAAAATATTCAAATAAATAATTAAGGACATATATCAATAAATTGAAATCACTTATAATGATAATTATGTCTGCTTGTCACATCATCTATGTGCAATTTGAGAGTAAGCTGCTAAGACAATTATTAGCATGGAATTGGGGTTTATGGGTTGGCACTGTTACATTAGACTAACTCTTCCGCTCGATGAGCTATGTTCACTAATTAAACTATATTAATGAATTGTTACATCGCACTATTGGACCCCCTTGTTCTTTTACACCAAGCAATACATATATATATCTCAAGTACAAGCCTATGGTGAGAACAATGCTTGATGTTTAATGCAAGTGATTTTTAAGAATTAAAAGGGTAAGGCCTTATGTGTTAGGAGAAAGAAGCAATCATAAAGTGTAAAACCCTATTGTTGTAAAACATCATGTTTGGTAATAACATAAATTGATGGGACGTCTCAACGTTATCCTTTTATAATATTATCAAATCAAATAAATAATTTCATTTTAATCAAACACACTTTTAAAAACATTCGAACATCCTCCCTAATTACTTGAACCAATGTTACCAACTCTCAACATCTTTGTAGGAACCACGATCCTCCACTTCTATGCCTACCTTATATCAACAGAACTGGTTTTGTATGAACAAAAACCTATTCGCTCGAGATTCTAATGAAAGCATTTCTTTATGATTCGATTACTAAATAACTTCTCTTGCTCTACACTTTCTCTAAAAGTTTCAATCGCGTTACTGCAATGTGACGGATGAAAGTGGGAAGTTGCCCGTAATACAAGCCAAATGGTGCTAATAAGATCGATGGAGCCTCAAAATTCAGGGGGGGAAAGCACCAAGTTGGTAGTAAAAGAAGGATATATATATGAGTTTGCAAACTTTGATGGCATGGGAAAGTGTGCGAGGTGTGCCCTGCATGGTAGACATTTTTATTTTTTGAGGTTTGCGTCACCACAAAGAAACATTATCATTTCCGAAAATGGACTGTTTTGTTCTCCCATACTGGATGAAGTGATATAGTTGGACACAAACCACAAACTTGGCCCTAGGAACCGAGGACTAGGACGAGTGTGGCTAACCGAGGTGTAGGATCAGTTGTAGATGAGTGCATGTACGTTGGCTTCTCCGCTTCCACTGGCTTGTATTGCTGGAGCCTTAGAATTGAGGGAAGGACACAAGATTTAGATCCAAGAAAGCTTCCGTTTCGGATGACAATGTATAATAAAGTGGTGCTTAGCAAGGGATTTGCACTGGGTACGACTTTAGTAAGTGTTGCTCTGGTTTTCCTTATGATCATTGCAGCTTTCTGTATCATATTTAGAATCCGTGATGGAGATGAGATTCTGGAGGATTGGGAAATCGAATATGGAGCATGTAGATTCAAGTATTCCGAGCTCTTCGCCGCAGCAGGGGGGTTTGGAGAGAAATCACTAGCGGGTGTCTAACTGTTTTCGTCAAGGAATGAAAGAATTTGTTGCAAAAGTCACTAGCATGGGACGGCTTAGGCACTGGATTCCTGTATAATTACATGGTTGGTGCCGGCAGAAAGACGAATTTCTTCTTGTTTATGATTATGTCCCCAATGGGAGCGTAGACAAGCTTTTGTATGAAGATGGTCCACTGAAGGGGAAAAAAACTTATTTGGGATCAAAGCTACAAGATTTTATTTGGTGTTGCACAAGCATTGCTATATCTCCATGAAGAATGTTACCAGGAGTGGTTCATAGAGATGTCAAGCCAAGCAATGTCCAGATAGATGAAGGTCTAAATGAAAAGCTCAGGGATTTCGGATTGGCCAGAACTTATGAACACAATAACAATCCACGGACCATAAACATTGCCGGTATGCTAGGGTATTTGGCTCACGAGCTCACAAAGACTGGGAAAGCCGCCACAAGAAGTGATGTCTATGGCTATGACACCCTTATGCTTGAAGTTGCAAGCAGAAGAATGCCTATTGAGCCCCAGAACAGAGCTAACGAACTGGTGGTGGTGATCTGGGTTAGGGAGTTGCATTGCATTCTCAAGGAAATATCACCCGAGCCATTGATCCGAAGCTCACAATTATCATTCAGGTGAAAAGCTCATCTGGTGCTTACCCTTGGTCTTTTATGTTGTCATCCCCATTCCAATTACAGACCGACCATGGTATTCATATGGAAATTCTTACAGCAACTGCAGAGTTCTCAGATTGCTGATGATCCTGCATACAACATATCGACTTTGTCCCAAAGTAAAAATAGTTGGACAAACTTTGGCAAGAAGATTTCCACTGTTCACGCCAAGAATTACCTTCTAGATCACATTATCATAGCAAGAAACCATCAAACATGCCTACTGTTGGGGAAACCGGGTTATTTCCCATAAGAACGTTGTTTCAATATTGATTTGAAATATCAAGATCAAAACCACCAAAGGTTGCATAGCGGACAAACCCGTCAAACTATTGAATATTGAAACACAATGAAAAAACCGAATAAAAAACAATAAAGGAGAGAACACACCAAATTTACGAGTTCGACGAGAATATCGTCTACTCCTCGGGCACCACAACGGTTGATAACTTCACTATCAACAAATATTACAACAAATGGAATTCTTTAGAATTCCCAAAGTGAGAGAATGAAGAAAACAAGAGGAAAAGAGAACTTATTTTGGGATGATTTCTAATGAAATACTTAGATCTATTTATAGTTGAGTTTTAAGAACTAAACTTATAAATAACCTAATATTTTAGGGACCAAAGATGAAATTCTCATGTGCAAAGTTGGCCACCTACCAAAGATTAATTTTCCAATAAGTTGGCCACCAACCAAGATGAATTTTCCAATAAGTTGGCCACCAACCAAGATGAATTTTCCAACTTGCCAAATTTGATTTCAAGCCAAACATAACAAATCTCCACCTTGGCTTGAAATTACCAAGCCTACTCAACTTCTTCAACTCCTCAAATTTGATGTTGTGCCTTAAATTGTGTTCACAAGCGCCATATACCCGAAGGTGCTCAAACTTTCAGGATGTTAATCAAGTTCAAACAATGATTGAACTTGATTACTGTTACTACCTTGGTCATCATATATGCAGGATTTTCTGTTGTCGTAATTTTCTGAAGCATAATCTTTTCTTCTTCAAAGATATCATGCACAAAGTGATACCTCATGTCGATATGCTTAGTCCTTGAATGGTAGACTTGATTTTTCGCTAAGTGAATAGCGCTCTGACTGTCACAATAGAGACTAATGTGACTTTGAACAACTCCCAAGTCTTCCATCAACCTGTTAAGCCAAATTGCTTCCTTCACAACCTCTGAAACTGCCATGTATTCTACCTCTGTAGTAGACAAAGCCACTATAGATTACAAAGTATACTTCCAACTTACTGGGGCTTTAGAAAGAGTAAACAAATACCCAGTAGTTGATGGACGCTTATCTAAATCACCAGCATAGTTGGAATCAACATATCCAATCACACACTGACCAAGTGTTTCATCCTGTTCAAAAAATAAACCAACATCCACGGTTTGTTGGAGATACCGTAGAATCCATTTCACAGCTTGCCAATGTCTTTTTCCAGGATCATGCATGTACCTGCTCACAACTCCAACTGCTTGTGAAATGTCAGGACACGTACACTATTGCATACATCAAGCTCCCAACTGCATTAGCATATGGAACTTTTTCCATATACTCTCGTTCTTCGTTAGTTTTAGGAGATAACTAAGAACTAAGTTTCAAATAAGAAGCTAGTGGGATACTTACATGTTTGGTAGTTTCATTCATGCCAAAACATTGTAATACATTTCTCATATACTACTTCTGAGTTAAACAAAGCTTCCCTCTCTGTCTATCTCTACTTATCTCCATACCAAGAATCTTCTTGGTTTCACCTAGATATTTCATCTCAAACTCATTATTCAATTGAGCCTTTAACTTGTCTATCTCTTTTTGACTCTTCGAAGTGATCAACGTACCGTCAACGTACAAGAAAAGATAAATGAAATATCCATCTTTGAGCTTTTGCAAATACACACAATGATCATATTTTCTTCTAGTGTACTTTTGCCTCCTTATAAAGCTATCAAATCGCTTGTACCACTGCCTCGGAGATTGCTTCAATCCATATAGCGATATGTTCAGCTTATAAACTCATTTCTCACAACCACCATATTTGTATCCTTCTGGCTGAGTCATATAGATCTTCTCTTCTAAATCACCGTGCAAGAAAGTCGTCTTTACATCAAGTTGAGCTAGCTCCAAATTCAACTGTGCTACCAAGGCCAACAATATTCTAATGGAGGAATGTTTCACAATAGGGGAAAATACTTCATTGTAGTTGATTCCCTCCTTTTGAGCGTAGCCTTTAGCTACCAATCTTGCCTTGTAGCGAACATCTTTCTTGCTATGAGATCCATCTTTCTTTGCAAATACCCACTTGCATCCAATTGCTCTTTTACCTTTCGGTAATTGTGCTAGTTTCCAAGTGTTGTTCTTTTGGAGAGATTACATTTCTTCATCCATAGAACTTTTCCACTTATCACTTTCCAAGCTTTACATTGCTTCTTGGTAAGTGATAGGGATATCATCATCAACAAATGGAAGAGTATAGGCCACCATATCAACAAATCGAGCACGTCTACGAATTTCTCTTCTTGGCCTTGTAACTGCAAGTGATTCTGGTGTCTCCAATGGTTATTGGGTTTGAACCTCTTCATCTTCTTATTCTTCTATTGGATTTGAAGAATCAGTTGCATCAACTTCTGGGATCATCGTTTGCTGAAACTCCACATGTTTTGGAGTATGCTCCACCTGCTGCGGAGTGCTACTTGTCTGGACAGATTCATTTGTTACCTTCTTCACTAGGGAAGATTCATCAAAGGTAGCATCTCTGCTACAAATTATCTTCTTGGTGTCTAAACACCAAAGGCGAAATCCCTTCACTCCATGGGTGATTCCCATAAAGAGAGCCTTCTTTGATCTCGGATCAAGCTTGGATTCCTTCACATGATAATAAGTAGTGGATCCAAATACATGTAAGGAATCATAATCAGTAGCATGTTTTCCAAACCATACCTCCAATGGCGTTTTTCCTTCTATCGCTGATGATGGCAGACGATTGATGAGATGTCCAGCATATGTCACAGCCTCATCCCAAAATGCCTTACTTAACCCAGCATTAGACAACATACATCGAACTTTCTCCAATATTGTTCGATTCATACGCTCTGCCACCCCATTCTGTTGTAGTGTATTTCTAACACTGAAGTGTCGAACAATACCATACTCATGGAAAACGTCAAAGAATGGGTCACTTTTATATTCCCCTCCATTGTTCGTCCTAAGACATTTAATCTTTCTACCAGTCTGGTTCTCGATCATATTTTTCCATTTAAGGAAAATTTGAAGCACTTCATCTTTAGACTTCATCGGATACACCCAAACTCTTCTGAAAAAGTCATCTACAAAAGTTACAAAATAATGGTTTCCTCTCAAAGACGGTGTCTTTGAAGGACCCCATACATCTGAGTAAATATAATCCACAATACATTTTGTATTATGTATAGTGGTTCCAAACTTCACTCTCTTCTGCTTTCCTAGAACACAATGCTCACAAAAGTTCAATTTCCAAGCCTTTTCACCTTTCAACAATCCTTTCTTTGCCAGAATTTGCAAGGATTTCTCTCCAGCATGTCCCAACCGCATATGCCACAACTGGGTTGTGTCCAAATCATCGCCTCCGGAAACAGCTGCAACTGCTCCAATAATTGTACTACCTTGGTAGTAATACAAATTATTTTTTCTGATGCCCTTCATCATCACAAGTGCGCCAGATGTGACTTTTAAAATTCTATCTCTCATAGTGACTACTGAGACTTTGGATTCCAAGGCTCCCAACGAGATGAGATTTTTCTTCAAATTAGACACGTACCGGACATCAGTTAGAACTCTGGTTGATCTATTTTGATTCTTCAATCGAATTGAATCTATCCTAATAGTTTTACAGGCATTGTCATTGCCCATATAAATAACTCTTGCATTTAGTTCTACTAAACCGGAGAACCACTCCCGATTAGGGGACATATGATAAGTACAACTCGAATCTAATATCCACTCATCTGAATGGAATGTTGTTGATGAAGCAACCAATGATATGTCAGAGTCATTTTCATCATGCTCTACAACATATGCATCTGGAGAAGCTTTTCTTTCTTCTTCAGCTTCAGACAATCTTTCTTCCAATGGCCTTTCTCATGACAAAAGACACATTCATCTTCGACTTTGATCTCTCTCCACTTTGGCTTTTGACTTTTCGAGTGACCTCTTGCCACCATGGCCTCCGCTACTTCGTACTTGTTCTCCTTCTTGATTTTCTTTCTGAGCTCATAACTATACAAAGCAGCAGTTACATCTTTAAGGGTAACATTACCCTTACCATGAAGTAACGTTGTCTCAAGGTGCTCAAATTCATCTGGAATAGATGACAACAACATCAAAGCCAAATTTTCATCTTTGAAGGTTTCATCCATGCCCAATAAGTCTGCCACTAGCTCATTGAACGCAGTGATGTGTTCAATTATACCGGTGCCTGGTTGATAATCAAATCTGAACAATATTTTCTTCATCTGGAGACGATTCTGAGAGTTTTTCTTTAGGAATTTTTCCTCTAATGCTTTCCACATCTTACTTGCAGAAGTCTCGTTCTTGTAGCCATACTTCTGGTCTTTGGAAAGACAAGATCGAATTGTGTTGCACATTAAACAATTGATTGTTCCCCATTTTTTCTCCTCTATATATTCAGGCTTTTCTTCCTCAATGGCGATGTCTAGACCTTGTTGGAATAAAGCGTCTAAAATCTCGCCTTGCCACATGCCAAAATGGTCAGATCCATCGAACAACTCCACTGAGAAATTTACATTTGACATCATCCTCCTTACCGGTCCAGATGAAGAGCTTGATGTTTCAACTGATCCGTATTTTGGCATTTTAATTTTAATGAACAATATTCAATAGCACGAACTGTACCTTTTCAGCAATAGGACCGCGAGGATAACCTCAACCGAAGCTCTAATGCCAATTATTGGGGAAACTGGGTTATTTCTCACACAAACGTAGTTCAAAATTGATTTGAAATATCAAGATCAAAACCACCAAAGGTTGCACAGCAGATAAACCCGTCAAACTATTGAATATTGAAACACAATGGAAAAACCGAATAAAAAACAATAAAGGAGAGAACACACCAAATTTACGAGGTTCGACGAGAATATCATCTACTCCTCGGGCACCACACCGAATGATAATTTCACTATCAACAAATATTACAACAAATGGAATTCTTTAGAAATCTCAAAGTGAGAGAATAAAGAAAAC